AAGGCTAGTTGTAATCATTATGATTACGAACTCTAAAAAACAGAGAGAGAACCTCACCCTGTGCTGTTGTGACACTATGCTGTCATGTTTACTGGTGATAACAAGTCAACTACTGCATACAGTATAAGAAAGATAAACACACCCTGATATACTTTTCAAACAGGAGTTTTACTATATATACATACACTATATACATATATATATATATATGTATATACATATATACATTCTCAGACCTAATTTGTTTACTTTTGTGTTATTTTTTTATCTGATTTTATCAGGTTAAAGAGTTTAGTTAGAAGAAACCTAGAATATGGAACAAACATAATGGTTCAATCAAGGGCATCACTAGGAACTGCAGGGCCCTGGTGCAAGAATCATCCTTAAGTAGTATACCTGAGTGGGATGTGTGTGGTGGCTGAGCGTGATTGTGTAGTGGTTGGCTGGGCAATTCCTCGTGCTGACGCTAACATGCTTGCTTCATTGACGGCACATTGGTGCTAGTGCATCCAATACTCCCCCAGCAATAGTGAGAAATGCATGCTGGGTGAGTAACACAGTGACAGGGAGCAATAGAACAGCCTGTCACTAAGTCTATGGCATAGGACCCTGTGTGCCAGCGTTTAATGTGGAGGATTTCATTGTGTGCACAAGTCTTACAGAGTTATTCACTAAAGTGAGAATTCAATATGAATTCAGAGTTAATTTCAGCTTTAGTGGAAGTATTCTCAGCTATTTTCTTTAAATTCACTTTGAATTCTCACTTTAGGGAATAACCCTGTTAGTATGTGTGTATGAGTCTTAGTGTCTGTCTATACAAATGTGTACGTATGTGAATAAGTGTGCATGTGTTTGTGTCTGTGTGTGATTGTGCACAAATCACACTCACTCCACACGGACTCGTTTAATAAATATTCACCTTATATAGTATTAAAAATAGCAAGAGAAAAAATCCAGTATTTAGCTGGGGCAGCTTGATGTTAGCTTGCTGAGTTTGAGAACCATTCAGGTACTGGAATTTATTGTGACCGATACAGAGGAAGAAACAAAGAAGTCAAGTGGCAAGTTAAAGCTCAATTGCAGGTTCACCCAACGGCAGACCTACCTTCGGTGATCCTGTGCACTCAGTGGGCCCATCAGGTGGCCCATGCAATTAGAATCAACTATTGGCAATGTGTCTTCAGAGGCCTGGTCATGAGCTGCGTCCCTTTAACAGTACAATCGGGCCCCTCTAATCTCGGTAGCCAGCGTTAGGAGGAAGTGACAGACGGTCACTTCTGAACAGATAATACAGAGCTTCCCTGGAAGAAGGCAGAGAGGAGGGGGTGGGGAATGGGAGAGCTTCTGACTCCCAACAGCTGCAGACAGCTGACTCGACCTGAGGGAAGCCACCCTCCTGCACCCTAAAAGTAGCAAACAGGAGGATGGCTTAAAATGTGTTTATTTTGCATTTGTGTCTGTGTATCTGTGTGTCTGTATGTGTATCTTTGTGTGTCCCTGTGTATCTGTGTGTCTCTGTGTATCTGTATGTATGTCAGTGTTTATCTGTGCATCTCTTTGTGTGTTAGTATGTGTATCTTTGTGCCTCCGTGTCAATGTGTTTCTGTGTATCTGCATGTCTGTACCCATGTATCTGCCAGTGTGTATCTGCATGTGCGTCTGTGTGTGTACCTTTGCATCTGTGAATTTGGATGTGTTTCACTGTGTGTCTGTGTATGTGTATCAGTGGATTTGTGTGTGTGTGTGTGTGTGTGTGTGTCAGTGTATATGTATATACATATACATCTCAGCATTTAATCTCCAACACTATGCACAAATACACCCCTGCATTCAAATGTCAACAGTACATACAGATACCCCCTACATTCAAAGGCGTTAGTGGTGTGAAAGTTAGACCATCACTATTTATTCATTGAATACAAGGAAAGTATTAAAGTCTCAGATTAAAAACCTATAACATATGAATATAAAGGGACAGCTAGCCTGGAACAGGCTAATAATGCAGTGCTTATGTTTAGAAGCACACAAGCAAGCCTCTTAGTAATTGGTATTATTTAGGCATTAACCAATAATATATTTCCTTGCTCTTAGCAACACGACTGCCATTATAGAACGGCTAAGAGTATGGTCAAGGATCCTTTTTGTTCCTATATTTAATTATACTATACTTTTGTAGTGAGAGAGAGTGTGTGTGTTATTTGATTATTCTCTATTTCTTGTTGTAGGTATTTATTTGGGGTTTTGTAAAGGAAGTGTCGCCTTACATTATGATCATCAATTTTTAAGATTTTACATAGATTATATACTAAACAACTGTACATTGCTTGTGTAGCTAGTAGAGTGTTTGTCTCCTAAGCTTTCTTTGTGTAGATAAATTCATTATAAAGGCTTTAGTTCTTTCAATGAGTGGTTCTCTGTTAAGACCTGTAACAGTATACTAATGATGGACACCCAGCGAGCATCTGGACTGGACGTAGGACAGCTCCAAGGCATGCAATATGTATTTATCTAACATACTCAATGGTACCACAGAGAAACCATTTTGTTCTTTACATATGTTTTTTTTTTTTTGTCAATCTTTATTTTTGCAGTGCTTGAGTAACATAAACAAGCTCGTATCGCCACAACAGCGTGTAAAGCTAAAACAGTAATACAGTGAATACAGTATTATGGCATGCAAGAATGGCACCATTTTTTTGTTAATAAATGCAGGTTAGGTACTTATGTCTTAAGTTATAGTTTATACTAGTTGGGTAAAAACGAGGTGAAAATAAGACCTATCGATTGATAATAAAGGAGTACTACTATGAAAAGCGTTTCTTAGGGTTAGCATACTCTTAATTATTTCAGGCTAAACATACATAAAGGCTAAAGGCCGAATATTCTGCAGGGTTCGGCAAGACATATATGTAACAGGCTTAAAAGTTGTAAACCACTAGGCTTTGGGGCGCATCTGCATCAAGCAGAAGGCAAATGCAAGCCTCGGATTTTATGGGCCGCCTTCTCCGCTTCACTGGTCTCCGTTTTTCAGGTGTCGTGTGTTTTCTTGCCACCAACCACTCCAGGCGGTTTTTCCCGCGATGAGTAATGCGGTAGTGTAGGGTGTAGCGGCTTCCTCTGGGTCTGTGCCCCTTTGTTCTGCATTCTCTGCCAGAAGTTTTCGAGGAGGTTGTCCAGGCGCTGCTCGAGTGTCTGCAGTCGGTTCAGTGTGTCTGTAGCTGGTGCAGTAGCCGCCATTTTGAGGCAGATTGTGCCCCTCTATGTCTTTGATTTAAGACAATGTGCTTGTCAGGGATGAAGCTTGGCTGTGGTGATGGTGTCGGGATAACCTCCATAGGCAGGCGGGAGGGGAGCGGGGACCCGTATAACGTCGGCTTGTTCCGGTCGGAGAGGCAGTAGGGAGATCGGCCGCTTCTCCCAGGCTCTCACCTCGTGGTAGGCCTCAGTGGCGGTGCGGGCTCAATCTGCTTGTCAGACGCCTGGAAACCCTTGTGCTGTAGCAGAGTAGCTTGCAGGTAGGTATCAGCGCAAATTTAGCCATTTGTTTGCTTTTAAAATACTGTTTTTAGGCGATAATTGTCAACTTTTGTAAAGAGCCCACACTGCATCCAACCTTTCAGTTTGGCAGCCAGTCCCCGCCCCCTTTAAATATGTTTTAGTCACACATATTAGGTATCGTTTCCAGTTTGTCTGTGTATATATGAGGGGTCAGTTCAAGGAAAGTGTGGAGGAATGTCATTACCCTTTGCCCAAATTCAATAGACCCCTATACTCAAAACTCCAGTAGAACAGTGTTATTCAAATATCTCAGGACTGCCCACTTTACAATGTTACATGACGACCAGGCAGTGTAAAAGTTTTGAATGCTCTGCTGGTGTGGATACGGCTTTAGTAATTTAACTAATGGGGAAAATATGGGTAGAATATGACTGTTGAGTGTAGATGGGGAATACATATGAACGTGAGGATCCGAGGGAAAATATATCTGAATAGACAAAGTAATTAAATGTTCTTAATTTATTATTTTGCAGCTCAAAATTTATGTTTTTTTATTTTTTTTATTTACAGACCAGAAGACAAGAATTTCAAGTTCTCCAGATTTGTAATAGTCTTTTTACAGAATTTGGATTAATTTGTGAAATTAATTACATGCATTGTAGGTTCCAACACCGAACGCTTAGTAACATCTACACATTTCTTAAATTTCAAAAACTTCTTTATATTTGTTATCGCAATCTGTCACACCATTTTCAAATGTTTTAGATGCACTAAATATTGTAAAAGGTTATTTTTTTTTTTTTAGAGATATGTAAATTAACCTAGTATTAAACACGTCAAACAATCTTTCTGTCTATATTTTTTTTTCTCCTACATTCTGGTTTATGAACTGTCAATAAATTGGATTTTAATCTCTCTTGCGTTCTTGACGGGTTCATTGTGAATGCCAAATAGTGACTAATTTGCTTCCATTTTTCTTTCTAAATTCCAGAATATTTTATAAATATATTAATATTCATTATATGGCTTACAGCATTTTGGAGATTTCTTGTGGCAAAACCAGAAAATTAACCAGCATAAAATATTGTCATATCACGGGGTCTGAGATTCATGTTTTCAAAAACAGAAAAATTCCTTTTTAACAACCTTTGCATGTCCCTGGTTTGATAATAAACTTAAGCTTCTTCTTCATATTAAATCTTAGTATGTTTTGGTGCTTGGTTTTGGTATAAGTTTGGATAACTTTTTAGTGTTTGCAGCAAAATGTACAGTATGTATGGATCGTTCTTATAAAAATATAAATTTAAGTTTTATACATTTATATTTCCTAATTTAATTTTTATTCCTGTAGTTGTCTACTTTTGTCACTTTACACCGTATTCAAATCTCACATCCAATTTATAAACGTGTAATCATCAAAATGTATTTTTGTTTATTATAAATAATAAAATGAAATGGTCTATGTTTAGTTTCCATTACCAAAACTGTCAACTTTTCAGGAAATTGAGTTAACCCCTTCAGGACCGCTGACGGTTCAGGACCGTCAGCGGTAAAACATGCGTTTGGACCGCTGACGGTCCTTAATCGCCATAGCGAAAAATGGGCTGCGGGAAGCGATCAAACATCACTCCCGCTGGTATAACGCTGTAACTATCTGCCAGACATCCCAGGCAGATAGTAACAGCCAATTGCGGCGTGTGAGCGATCCGCGATCGCTCACAATTGGCTGCTGTCAAAGTGGGTGTTACAAACACTCACTTTGACAGTGATCTCTGCCCCTCTCTCCTCTGTAGCGTTTTGTGAGGCGAGAGAGAAAGAGATTGTGATAGTTTGTTGCAGCAGAAGTGTTCCAGAGCTTTATACAGTATCTAAAGTGAATAAAAAAATCCCCTTTGACCCCTTCCCTGCCAGATCTGTTACAGCAGTGCATTTGTACTGTCTGTATTTTTTTTTGCCTTTAAAGAGTTAAATTTGTTTTAAAAATCTGTGTCTTGGTCTGTTTTAGTCAGTCAGTTTCCTTCCCCAAAATCTCCATTAGATTTTTGTGACAGGAGTTAGTTTAGGGATTGCTGTTTAGTCTGTTTTAGTAAAAAAAAGGATAAAAACAAATTTGTGTGTTTGTAATTTGTTTTAGTCATGTGTAAAACATGCAGCGCATGTATAATTTGCAGGAGGCATATGCTTTCTTGGTGTCAGACTCTGACGCCACTGACACTGCGTCAGATTTTAAACCAGGTCAGTTTTCTGACATGTCTAGTCAAGACGACATGTCATCTGTGTGTGAGCCGGCTGAAGAAAGAAGCTGTGCTTCCTCTGCTACGCTGAATGTGGAGGAGGACTGGGTACCTCCACAGTTAGCCGAGCCCAACGTCCCCCCTTTTAGTGCCAACGCAGGCATTAATGTTAATGTGGATGGCTTCTCCCCAATGCAGTATGTAGAACTATTTTTAGGGGATACCATCTGGGAGGAAATTGCTTCCCAGACTAACTTGTATGCTACCCAATTTATTGATAACAATCCAGGTAGCTATACAGTCAGGGAGCATGACTGGCATCCCACAGATGTCCCAGAGCTTAAAAAATTCTTGGCTCTTACAATGCTCATGGGGATTATAAAGAAGCCATCAATTCGCTCATACTGGAGCACCAACCCAATAATGTCTTGTCCAGTATTCTCCAAAACCATGCATAGAGCCAGATCAGAGTTACTGCTGAGATTTTTACATTTCAGTGACAATACCCTCTGTCACCCTAGAGATCACCCCCAATACGATAGGCTTTAGAAAATACGCCCACTGCTAGACCATTTTCAGGACAAATTTTCGGATGATTATACCCCCCAACAAAATGTATCCATAGATGAATCTCTAATGAAATACAAAGAGAGATTAGGGTTCAGACAATACATCCCCCTCAAAGCGCTCTAGGTATGGCATAAAACTGTATAAACTGTGCGAGAGCGAAAGTGGATACACGTTTGCCTCTCGTCTATATGAGGGGAAAGATGGTCAACTGGACCCTCCTGGCTGTCCTGAGTCCCTGGGGACAAGTGGGAAACTTGTATGGGACCTACTAAACCCCTTGTTTAATAAAGGTTACCACCTTTATGTGGATAATTTTTATAGTAGTGTCCGTCTGTTTAAAACACTTTATGGTTTACAGACACTGGCCTGCGGCACTGCCAGAAAAAATTCCAAAGACTTTCCACGATCTCTCACGATCTTTCCACGCAAAATGAAAAAAAGCTGAAGTGCTTGCACTAAAATTTAGGGACAGGAAGGATGTCAATATGCTAACCACCATCCATGACGAACGCATGACAGACGTCTCTGTCCGGGGCAGAGTAGAGTCCAAACCGGTTTGCATCTGGGCGTATAATAAGTACATGGGGGGTGTTGATCTGGCTGATCAGCTGATGCAGCCATATCTTATTTTAAGAAAAACCAAAGCATGGTATAAAAAGGTGGCTATCGATATGATGCAAATAGCAATCCATAACTCATTTTTGCTATTTAAAAAAAATAATCCAGGGAAAACCACCTTTCTCCAATTTCAGTTGAAAATTATTTCTTTAACAATTTATGGAGATGGACAAGTTCCAACAACGGTGCAAGCTGAGTCCAGACATTTTATTTTTATGAAACCCCCCCAGAAACGTTGCCGGGTCTGTTTCAAAAACGGGAAAAGGACAGACACCCCTTTTCACTGTCACAATTGCCCTTTGAAACCAGGACTGTGTGTAGGAACATGTTTCAAGCTGTACCACACAGAACAGTTGTAAGAAGTGTTCCTGAATTTTTATTTTATTTTTTGTTTCTTTGGAAAGCAGCCATACTACCTCAATGTTTGACAAAGCCTGGTGGTAGAATTAGTGCATGGAAAGTTTTAAAATACCACCATGTGAAATACCCTAGGGTGTCTACTTTTCAAAAATATATGGTTTAATGGGGGTAAAATACATTGGCCGGCTTTAAAAATGTCCCAAATAGGACATGCATGCAGGTTGACTACATGTCAAAATTCCAAGCTGAGAAACTGATATGCGCACCTGCAAAATGGGGTGTTGTTTTAACAGAATCTGTGAATTTATACCTGAATTGCAATGTATGTGAAAAAAATTTAAAAAATAAACTACCTATGCAAAGTTTGGCAAAGGTTTGTGGTAAAATGGCTACATAGAAAGTATCAAAATATTCTTTGATGTATACCCTGGGTTATCTAGTTTAAGAAAAATATATACATGTGTGGTGTTTTTTGGAGATTTATGACATAACAGTGTTACAATGTCACTATTAATACATTTGAAAAATGTACATTTTGAAACAGCAATTTCCTACTTGTACTTATAGCCCTATAACTTGCAAATAAAAGCAAAAAAACACAAACATTGGGTGTTTTTAAACTCAGGACAACATTTTGAATCTATTTAGCAGTTTGTTTCATTCGATTTTGTAGATCAGTAAAAGATTTTTTTAAGTAAAAGTCAAAAAAACAAGTTTTATTTTAATTTTTCACCATATTTTATTATTATTTGTTTAATTAAATTATATGACATGATAAAAATAATAGTATGTAAAGAAAGCCCTTTTTGTCCTGAAAAAAACAATATATAATTTGTATGGGAACAGTAAATGAGAGAGCGGAAAATTACAGCTAAACACAAACACCACAAAAGTGTTAAAATAGCTCTGGTCTTTAACGCACAAACATCGCAAAAACAGTCTGGTCCTGAAGAGCTTAAGGCTCATTTCTGAGGACAAGTAAGTCAAATAGTCTGGCAAAGTTTAATCCGCAGTGAGGTGGAATCTGGAAATAATAGGTTAAAGTAATTAAATATATTTTAAATGTGATCTAAATTCCACAATGAATTCATGAAAAATTGCTTTGCTAAAAAGGACACATCTTTGTGAATTCTAAATTAGCATGAAATATTTTTCCAATTCTATTTAGGACCTTCTTCTCATCATTTGAATATTGTGCCACAGTGTTACATTCTGTGCCATGAGTGAGAACTGATGTCGTGGGCATCTTCCCATGCAATGAATAATATATTAATCTGTGTACATGTGATGGTAGTTTTGTGGTGATCCTGCTGATATAAACATACTACTGGAATCTTCCATAGCTCACAATTTAGTAATCACAGCCGTAGCAACTTTATTCATCAGACGTTTAAAATATAAGACGGCACTATTAGGGAATAATTCTAGGAAGTGAGAAGATTATTTGTGTGTGTGTGTTGCAATGTGTGTGAGTTGCAATACTTGTGTGAGGGGCGCAGTATGTGTGGTTCGGGGTGGGAAATAGGAGTACAGTGAATGTGTTTATTTTTTTTTAATAAAAGAATAAATAAATAAACTTTATATCCCGCCTTCCTTCTTACCTTTGGCCCAGGAGGTTGCTTGCAAACCGTGGTGGTCCGGTGTCAAGTGAACTCTGGCCTGCAGTTCCTCAGGCTAGAGTTTACTCTTGTCCCTGTCAGAGCATTGTCATGGTCACCGACCTCGCAAGAGGAACTTTCAGGACGTGACAGAGCTGCAGGCTAGAGATCATGGTACCTCTTCTCCTTCCTCGGATCTTAGTGCCTGTAGGCCGGTGAGGGATATCTTTGATCTCTCCACTGGTTTATTAAGGAACACAGTAGGGCTAGCCCTTGAATAATGCTAAATCTGCATGGGCCAGCAGGCGAGATCCTCTGATCTTCCATGTTGGCATCGGTTCATGACCATCACGGACCAATGGGCTTATTCCCATTTTGCCTGATGGCCAGTCTCAGCCTGCATCCAGGCATGCACACATGCCCACCTATTTTCAAAGTTACCAAAAGCAACAAGTACAGAAAAATAAAGCAATAATTACCTTGGTGGTTTAAAACTTCTTGCTTCTTTAAACTCCTTCCTTGTTTGTTTAAACTCCTGTTTTTCAACTAGTACTTAAAATAGCCTACTTAAAAAATACTATCTTTAAGCAACTCCAAGTGTGTCATTTATACTCTAAAATAAAGTCTATGTACATAAAGAACATTACTAATATCGGGCACTAATTCACAATCTCAAATTGTGACTAACCAGAACTTTAGTCCAACCTTAGCCCAATATATTCCCAAAAATAAGTTTTCTTTGAAAAATACTACCAGTTCTTATACATGTAACAATATATGGATCTGACATCCTCAACTGTCCTTCTATTAGTTAGACAATGGATGTCCAGATCTTATGTACCTCCATTCCCCACAATGACGGTGTAAAAGCAGTAAAAAGAAAACTGAATGAGGATCTCAAGAATGTCTGTCTCCTGGAAAGCAAGGAATGCATAACAGAAGTTCCATCATTCATAATAACAGAGATATATGACCTTTTTTGAAAATGAATTATAAACACAGAAAAATGGAACTTCTTTGGGCTAAAATGTCTCTATAATATATTCTTTCAGATATAGTTGTGCTCAAAAGTTTGCATATCCTTGGAGAATTGGTAATATATGTACATATTTTTAAGAAAGCATGAGTGAGCAGACAAAACACATTTCTTTATTTCTTATGGGATTCATATTTAACTGTAGGTTGTAACAGAGTGGCACAATAATAAAATAAAAAAATGAATTGACCCCTGTTCAAAAGTCTGGGGGGAGGGAGGGCGGCCTGAAGATCAAGATGGCCACACGTGTTTTCGCACAGCTACGGCTTTCTATACTATAATCCATGCTTAAATGGCCTTTCAGTAACACAGAATACCTCCCATGTCAGCTACAGATCGACACTATACCAGCCTGTACCATTTTATGCTTGAAGTGTTCAGGTCTGACGAGCTTTGGTCGTGAATGAATCCTGTGGCCCAGTGCAATCAATGCCGGGTGAGATGGCTGCTCTCCCGCTCAGAGGATCGCAACTTACTTAAGCTTTTGTATAGCTCCATTACACCCCATCTGGACCGGTGAGGTATATCACTGTCCCCACCAAAGCAAGCTATTGTATCTTGGAGTCAAAGAAGCTCCTACTCACCTTGTCGCTACTATCCTCGTGGCAAGCATAAGATGGCCGCCACACCGACCAAGCATGTGTATCTATGGGAATCCAGGTTCCACGCAGCTTTTGATGCATTATGCAAAGCATTTTGGACCCGGATCGAAACCCGCCAGAAGCAGCTCCTATTTCCTGCTATTGCAACGGTGTTCCAGAGCTCTCTTCCTCTTCTGGGCTGAGAGCCAAGACGGTCAGTAGACCCATCAGCCATCCACAGCCTCATGGGACTGCCATTCCAGGAGTCTTGCAGGACTTTAGCTCTATGATCAGAGTTGGAGGGCTTCATGGAATACAGGCACTGGCTTGTGAACTGGCCTGGGCATGGGGACCAGAGAAGCTGAAGCACCACTATATCACTACCTAAGAACGAGAATATTTGTACATGATGATGGGAGACTCGTCTCAAACCTACCTTCACAACATCACTTTTGATTATAACGTGATTCCTTAATATATTACCTGTTATAATGTTCTTGTGCCTTTAGCCACACCCCTCCCTATTTTAATACCTCTCATAAGCTTCACAGTTCTGACTAGACCTATACCTGGTAGCCCTTACATCACAGTAATACCTGGTGGTCCATTTTGTAACTTATCTATTCGCACGTGGACTCTGCTTGTAATAACCCAATATCTTGTATTGCCAGTTTGCATAGTTTGATTTTGCAATTTCTCCTGTTTCACCCACTAGTTGGCTTATTTAGCCTAAACATATTTTACTTTTTTCTTATATTTGTTATTTTACTTAATCTACATCTCTGCATAGGTCAAGTCTATTTGCAGTATAATCGCTCATATTATCAACTCATGCTTTGTACACTTTCTACCTCCTGTATTCTCTACTACCTTAAAAAAGTGCAGTGACTTTGACATGTAAAGCAATGACTTTAGACACTTTATAATGTTTATAATTTTGACATGTTTCTGCTTATTTGTGATATTGGCTCTGCACTACAAAAAGAAAGAATTTAATTTATTTTTTTAAGTCTGCATACCCTTAGCTCGTATTGCCCCCTATAGCATCAATGACACCTTGCAGTCTTTTGTAATAGTTGCCTATGAGTCCCCTAATTCTTGCCGGTGCTATAGCTGCCCATTCGTCTTGGCAAAATGTCTCCAGGTCATGCAAAGTCTTTGGTTGTCTTTTGGAATCTTCCCAGAGTGGCTTGGAATTTGTCGCGGAGTTTAAGCTATCCTTCGAACCACTAGGGAAGGAGAAATCAGCAGCTAAAGCCTTAATATGTTTCAAACAGAGTATTCGTTCGGTATCAGATTATGACATATAATTTCGGACGTTGGCTCATGAAGTCGACTGGACCAATAGTGGTTTGGTTACAGCATTTGCTGAAGGATTGTCTGAAACCTTATTGGATGAAACTGCCGCTAAAGACTTACCTGAAGGGTTAAATGACTTCATCACTTACATGATGCATATTGACAATAGGCTCAGGGAAAGGGAGAAGTTGAAAGGCAGACCAAAGCGCTTGTCTATATCTTTGGCTCCTCATTTTTCTCCTTCTCCTGCTGCTTCCCAATCTGATCTTGAACTCATGCAATTAGGGGTGGCTAAATTATCGGAAGCTGAGAAGCAATACAGGAGAGGTGAGGGATTATATTTGTATTGTGGCAAACAAGGTCATTTACGTTTAGCATGTCCCATCCATCCAGAAAACGTGCGCACCAAAGGACCGTTAGGGGACCAGCCTTAAGTGTTATGTACACATCTCCTAATACGCATGTAAATAGATTTCTGCTTCCCATCGCTCTATCTTGGGGTGGTACTGTGTTTACCACCAAAGTTCTTATAGATTCTGGAGCTGCTGAAAATGTTATTGATGCAGAATATACTCACTTGCATCAAGTACCGCTAAGAAGCAGGACAACTCCTTTGGCCGTTTAGGCCATAGATGGTATACCTCTGAAGTAACCCTTGATTACTCAGGAAACCTGTTTGGTTACTCTTTCCATAGGTGTTTTACGTAAGGAATCGTTTGTATTCCAGGTCATATCCTCTCCTACCTGCCCTGTTGTCTTAGGTTTCCCATGGATTTCTTTACACAACCCCCATATAGATTGGATTCAGGGGGAAGTATTGTCCTGGGGTGATTCATGCAGGGAAAGATGAATACAACCTGTCAAACCCATCAATACTATTGATGTACCTACACCTAGGCCTCTGTCTACAGAAATCCCTTTTCAATAAATGTCAGTAAAAGAGGTGTTTAACAAAAGCCATGCTGAATCTTTGCCACCACATAGACCATTATTATTATTAATATTATTATTATTGGTATTTATATAGCGCCAACTAATTTTGCAGCGCTTTACAATATTATGAAAGGGGGGGGGGGGAATTAACAATAAATGAGACAATTACACAGTGACACCAGAACAAATGAGCTTACAGTCTAGATAAGGTGGGGCACAAATACTCAACAAGGCAGCAAGGGTGACAGCCACCAAACAAGGTGAAAAGGTAGCAGAGCTGGAGGTGAGAGTGGGGTATGGCTTTTTAGTAGAGATAGATTTGGATAAGTATAGATATGTTACTCTGGGAGTCCATAAGCATTTCTGAACTGATGTGTTTTGAGGGAATTCTTAAACAAGTGAAGACTAGGGGAGAGTCTGATGGGGCTGTTCAAAAAGAAGGAAGCCGCTCATGAGAAGTTCTGCAAGCGTGAGTTAGCAGTAAGGGTGCGAGCAGCAGACAGGCGAAGGTCACTGGCAGAGCGGAGAGACAGAGAAGGGGCATATCTATGAATCAGGGAAGAAATGTAAGAGGGGCTAGAGTTGGTTAGAGCTTTATAGGTAAGGGTTAGTATTTTGAATTGACACCTATAGGATACAGGAAGCCAGTGTAAGGATCAACAGAGGGGCGAGGTATAGAAGGAACTATGGGTGAGAAAGATCAGCCTGGCGGAAGCATGCATTAACGATTGTAGCGGGGGAGTTAGACTTTTGAGTAGACCAACTAGGAGAGGATTACAGTAATCCATGCAAGAGATTACCAGAGCATGAACAAGTTTCCTGGCAGCATCTTACCATACGACTGTACCATCGATTTGTTGCCTGGTATTATGCCTCCAAGAGGTCGTGTGTATCCATTGTCCCCTCAGGAAAACGTAATAACGGAATACATACAAGAATCTCTTTCTAAGGGTTTCATACGCCGATCCTCTTCTCCTGCTTGTGCGAGTCTTTTCTTTGTGTCTAAGAAGGAGGGGGACTTGAGACCCTGTGTAGACTATGGAGGCCTAAATAAAATAACCGCAAAGAATGCCTATCCCATACCCCTTATATCAGAATTGTTCGATAGACTCAAAGGGGCTACTGTTTTTACTAAATTGGATTTCCATAGTGCTTATAATTTAGTAAGGATAAAGGAGGGGTATGAATGGAAGACTGCATTTAACACTAAGAGTGGGCACTATGGGTATTTGGTCATGCCCTTTGGTCTGTGCAATGCACAAGACTTAATTAATGATGTATTGAGAGATTACATACACTCAAATGTCCTAGTATATCTTGACGATATACTAATTTTCTCTCCGGATCTCCGCTCACATCACATTCATGTGAGGACAGTGCTACAGACATTACTTAAGAATGGTCTTTATTGCATGGTCGAGTTCCCTGAAATAATCCTTTACTGCGCCAATGCCCCAAACAAGCCCGGTTACAATAGTCCTGACAACACCTTCACATGCCTCACACTGTGGTTTGGAGTGACAAGACCTAAAATGTTCACAGCCAAAAGCACTATGTTTGGAGAGGGGTCAACAAGACCTATAGTGAAATGAATACCATTCCCACTGCGAAGCATGGTGGTGGCTCACTGATGTTTTTTTTGGGGGTGTAAAGGCAAGGGGAATCTTGAAAATCATGAAAATTAATGGCAAGATGAATGCAGCACGTTATCAGACATATACTGGCAGACAATTTTTCATTCTTTTGCACGAAGCCATGGGACGCATTTGAACTTTTCAGCATGACAATGACTGCAAGCACAAGGCCAGGTTGATCCTACAGTGGTTACAGCAGAACAAGGTGAAGGTTCTGGAGTGGCCATCACAGTCTCCTATAGAACTTTACCATAAAGGGTTAGCCCAAAGCCTTGCCGGTCAACTGGTTCATGAAATAACCTATTTTGGCACGGTCTGAAGGAAAAGATCTAGGTGAAGCCTCAAAGTGGTACTCTATTTGGTTCAAGAATCCACAACATTTCTGGGGGTCACTACTGAATCTAGGAAGAGGCATCAAGTTTATAGAAGGGCTTCTGAAGAGGTAGGCCTCAGGCACTGCAGGTTGTTGAGTCATAACAGTCTGAAGTGCCTGAGCGAACTGATCCATCCTATGATCAAGTTCTTCTACTTTGGTCTCATATGTATTAATTTGCTGGCTAATATTTGCAGAATCCATAATGGTCCTGTTGTAATGTCATGGACAGGTAGGATCTAACAAGCAAAGACATGCACAGCAAATGCCAAAGAAGAGAAAAAATATCTGACTTTAGAATGGCCAGACTAAATGCCACTAGAATATACAAGACACGCTGAGGTCAGGAATACAGAAGACAGAATAAACGTTAGGAATAGCCAAAGGTCAAGGACAATAGAGAGGAGAATAGTCAACTGCTGCTGGCTGCTCTGGCTGGCTTCTCTGGCTGGCTTGCAGGCTGGCCGCTGTGGCCGGTTGGCAGGCTGAATGACTGCTGTGGCACAATGCTGGGGCTGGCTAACAGGCTGGCTGGGGCAGGCTGACAGGCCTCTTTCTTCACCAGCCCCTTTGTGTGTCTGTTTCTCCCCCAAACCATTGTGTATCTCCTTTTCACCGTCTACTCTGTGTGTCTCTGCCCCCCAGCCCTTCTGTGTTTCTCTTTTTCCCCACAGCCCCTCTGTATATCTCTTTGTATCACCAGCCACTCTTTATGTCTCTTCCACCCAGCCATTCTGTGTTTTTGTTTGCCCCCCAGTCCTTCTGTGTTCCTCTTTGCCCCCCAGCCATTCTGTGTGCTTCTTTGTCCTACTCCAGCCCCTCTGTGTGTCTCTTTGTCCCTTTAACCCTTCAGTGTGTATCTCTGTCCTCCCTCAGCCCTTTTGTGCCCCCTCTTCCTGTGCTCTTGTTTATCATCCCTTCACTCATGTGCACCTCTTTTGCTCCCCCTCCCCACTGTGCTCTTCTTTTGCCCCCTCCTCAGCACTCCCCTCCTGCTGTTCACCCAGAGATTGTGCTCCCCAGACCACAGTGCTATGCAGTCTGCCCCTGATTGAGTGGCACCCGGGGTGGACCACCCTGCCTTAATACGCCCCTGATTAAGAATGTATTTATAAAAATTGTAATGAACTTTATCAATGATTCTATAGTTTTTGGGACTGTGAGAGGTGATACATGGGCAACATTTTTTTCTGCCCCAAACTACCATAACTCTGTTTATACCACTGGATATGGAGCAGGTGAGGTTGTTTAGTGGATAGACAGCGCTCAGAATCAACTAAGTCAACTAAGCCTTACTCCCTTCTAAGATCCATAAACCCCAGGGAAAGATTAACATAGACCCATACATACACATAGGCCCAAATTAGCCACAATATAAATGTTCAGGTTGTTTTTTGTCACGTATTTATTATGAAATATGTTGTGTCACATAATTACAACTAGTTACTTCGATACGATAGTTTGTATAAAGCATCTTACCTATTAATGGTGTCAAACTGCTCATCCTGAGCTGTGCTTAAGGCTGAGTTTTATTCTGGTGCAGAGCCTCAAACCTGATATGTGACATTGCCATCACATAGGAGTCCAGAGGTTCTGTGAATCTGTAGTAGATTTGCTATGTCTTATACATGTAGTCCATAAAATGATATCCAAAATGTAAATTCAAATCCTCTCATTAGATCCATCCCATCTTTCACTTCCTTATCTAACAAGCTCACAATTCAGCACTGTACAAAGCCAAGACTTATTCAGAAACTAGCACAAATCTATTTTACCTTTCCTGGTTAATTACTTTTATTGTATGTATTCTATAGTTATATTTATATAGTGCATGGTAGTTTAGTTTTTGTTGGTGTGGTTGCATGTTATTATTTTTATATGGTAAAGAAAATAAAAGACAGAAAATATCCTTGACTATATAACAAATATAATTTTGGGCAAGTTTTCACATGAACCTTTGTGAAAATATTATTTTTCAAACAAGATTCTGGAGCGCAGCCAAATAGTTTGTAATGATGTGACCTATTTTAATCGAGCTTCACAATACGAATACAATACATTATGAAAGGTGTAGAATGACATCTAATTTTGCTGTCAGACAAGAGGTTGATTTAGGCTTACTGTCTGTCATTTAAGTTTGATAGATTGTTTATTGTTGATCAAAACTCTACAAACTCTATTACCCCATTCACTAAAAAGACATCAGGAAAGAACTAGAAAGGTTCTAACTAATCTATGCAACAACAGTCATCTTGATAGATAATTTTTGTGTGTAGGTACTGTAGTAGTTATGGTGCCAACAATAATCTGGTGCCCCCAATGTAAGTAGCCAAATTGTTTTAGAACATCTTACTTGGGGTCTCTCTGTCTCCATTACAGCTTTCACAGAGCTGGATGCTCTCTATGTGAGCTAAGCCCAGTGGTGCCAATAAGATGGCCCTGTACCGCAAAGCTTAATTCAGGAGAGCTAACAGAAGCTGCCAAGCAGGAGCTTCCAGCTCTCCGGGCTAAGGGAGAAGCAGTGCGCAGCATTCAGCAGACCCCAGGTAAGAAGTCATATTAAAAATTAAATTACATTACGTCCGATTATATCATTTGTGACAGTGCCACTTGAATGCACCATATTTGGTGTTAATTATACAGCATAGTGTGAAGATATTGCTGTGGGTGCAGCATTATAATCTTGTGGCTGCAAGTTGGGGGTTAATGCTGTGAATACAGGGTTAATACAGCATGGTCTAGGGTTAATACACAAAGTGTGGAGTTTATATATGTAGGTTATTTTAGTATCTTGTAAAAATTTGGTATCTTAATGTGATTCATACAATATGGTAAGCTTTTGTGTTTTGTGTATTGGGTAGAGTTTTTTGGAAGGGCTTAAAGGGATACTATGAGTCCCAGGAATATGGCTTTGTGTATTATATAGCTCCCTCTGCCTCCCCCCTAACTCTTGTCCTCCCACCACAGTAAATAAAGGGTTAAAATCCTTTATTTACTTACCTGATCCTAGCGCCGATGTCCCTCGGCACTGGGTCGTGGCTTTGCTTCCTCCGATGTACCGCAACGAGCAGGTGCTAATGCGCATGGGCAGCAGATGCCGCACGCGCATTAGACCTCCACATAGGAAAGCATTGAATGAATGCTTTCCAATTGGGAAAAATCTGACTCTGGATGTCCTCATGCAGAGCGTGAGGAGGTCCAGAGTCAGATACAAGATACAAGATAAAGGTCCGTTTGGATGTAGGAAGCACCTGGAAGTCTCTTCTTATTCCCCCCTCCCCTCTTTTTATTCCCCCCCTCCCCTCTTCTTATTCCCTCCCTCCCCTCTTCTTATTCCCTCCCTCCCCTCATCTTATTCCCCGCCCTCCACTCTTCTTATTCCCTCCTCCCCCTCTTTCTTATATTCTTATTCCCTCCCTCCCTCCTCTTCTTATTCCCTCCCTCCCTCTTCTTCTTATTCCCTCCCTCCCTCTTCTATTCTCCTCCCTCTATTCCCTCCTCCCCTCATCTTATTCCCTCCCTCTTTTTATTCCCCCTCATCTTATTCCCTCCCTCCCTTTCTTTATTCCCCTTCTTACCCCCTCCCCCTTATTTCGTGGCCGAAAGGTACTGTCGAAGCTGGCCGAGGATAGGAAGAGACATGAGTGCACTTCCTGTCAGTCCGCCAGACAGGAAACAGAAATTCCGCGAACAGGAGTTTCTGTTTTAACTGCCGGACTGACAGGAAGTGCACACTCAGTGTGCACCTTCCTATCACTCCCAGCGCAAGGACCGGAGGCAGCTCGCCACAAGGAGGGGAGGAGGTGCAGCCGCCCGAGCCTTTTAACAGAGCGCTCGGGCGGCTGCAGTATTTTAAAGGGCCGGCCCAGGAACGCGGCCGGCCCCCAGGTGCCGCGGCCCACCAGGAAATTTCCCGGTATCCCGGTGGGCCAGTCCGGCCCTGATGCTGATCCTCCTCCTTCGCTTTCCCTGCAAGTTGATGGTACTTGCATCAGTCCATCCTTGCAAGCTCATTGTCTTGGTGTTATCTTCGATCCTGGCCTCACCTTTGCGCCTCATATCCAGTATGTTGCTAAACCCTGTCAATTCCACATTAATAACATTGCCCGCATCCACCCCTTTCAAGATGTTTCCAAGGAGCTTGTTCATGCTCTGGTAATCTCTCGCATGGATTACTGTAATTTATTTCTAGTTGGTCTCCCCAGAAGCCAAACTGCCTCGCTACAATCTGTAATGAATGCTACTGCCAGGCTGGTCTTTCTCACCCGTCGCTCCATGCTTATGGACTGCCATAGTAACTTTTATGACACAGATCTGTCATTTGCTCTCTCCTAAAGAGCAACACTCCACTCTCACCCCCAGTTCTGCTACTTTTCCATCTTGTTTGGTTGCTGACCCCCTTGCTGCCCTACCGTGTTTTTGTACCCCACCTCCTCTAGACTGTAAGCTTGTTTGAGTAGGGTCCTCATCTACCTATTGTTCCCGTATCATTGTGCAATTGTCTCATAATTCCCCCCTTTCATAATATTGTAAAGCGCTGCACAATTAGTTGGTGCTATATAAACATTAATAATAATAATAATAATAGTGAATAAACTCCTTTATGTTACTGATTAGCAAAAGTGTGTGGGAGTTTAAAGCACCTTGGATCTTGCACACATTCTCAGAAATAAATGTCATGGAATGAATATGCAATATCATTAAGATAAAATATTTTTTTTACATTTTGTAATACAGCCAGCGGCAGATTAAGGCTGCTCAGGCCTTAGGCAGGGTGCCAGATTGTGGCCCTCTCCCTAAGCCCTGGGCATTGGATGTGTGAGTGGTGTGTGTGTTAGCATATGTAGAGGCTGAGTGTTGCATGTGTGGAAGAGGCTGAAAGCTGTATGGAGGGGGCTGAGTGTGTGTGTGTATTGCATTATGTACCTGTGCATGTGCCTGATAGTGTGTGCATTTCTGACTGAGAATGTCTGTGACTCTGACAGTTTTTACATTTTTATATGCCTCTGAGTATGTGTGTGCCCTGGCATTGTATACCTGTGTGGGTGCCTGTGCATCCTTGTGTGTTATGTTTGTGACTGTGCCTGGAAGCATATGTGTTGCTTGCATTGTGTGTAAAGGGGGGGGTGCTTGTGGTCTATGTGTGCTGTGTTAAGGTGAGGCAGTGTTTCATGTGTTGGAGGTGACTGTGTATGATGATGACTATCATATGGGTCATATGGTCATATGGTGACAATGAATGTGGCAGGGTTAGAGGTGTGCGTGTGGCAGGGTGAGGAAGGTGAGTGTGACAGTGTTTGTAGGGTAGGTTTGACAGGATGAGGGGAGTGAGTGTGACAGTTTTAGGGGGGTTAGTGTGAGTTGGGGTATGAGTGAGTGTGATGGTGTTAAGGGGTGAGTGTGATGGGATGAGGGATAAATGTGGCAGGTTAAGGGATGTTGAGTATGACCTTATGAGGGGGTTAGTGTGGCAGGGTGGTGGGTGTGACAACATTGGATAATGAGTGTGATAATGGGGGAGTGATTGTTGCAGGGTGAGGGGTGACAAGGTTAAGGTGTGCGTGACTGCGGCAGTTTTCATAAGTTTTCTATTATAATGAATTATTGGTAAAATCAAATCTAACTTTAGAACAACATCTTGATGATGTTATGAGAGGTGACAGCACAGTGCTCACAGGGAATGCATTTTCAAGACATCAGAATAAACATTTAATGGAAGAACATTTTCCTCTACCCACACAAAGTGAAACACTATGTAAAGCTTAACTCAGCCTAGTATAGACACAGCTAAAACTGCTCAGAATAGTTCAGTAATTTGTGTATCTGCTTAAAGATACAATAAGCGGCAAACTGATTCACATGTCAGTTCATTTTTATGCCTTTTGAATATTTTATTTTCCTATGACAGATTTGAATTATTTGATACTTCTGATAACATGCAGAGTTATTCACTACAGTTTAAATGGCTCCGTACCTAATGGGGCAAATCTATCTAACTGCGTAGGGGGCTATTCGTATGGTTGATGGCTGCTGGATGGTGAAATATGGACCCAAATGTTTCAAATCTGGAGCAGGATTTTAAAATCCAATTTTAGAAAGCAATGGAATCATCACTGACTTAGAACTTGGTAATTCATGTTCAAATCCCAGTCAGAACACCTTACCAGTAAGTGTCCCTGGGCAAGTCACTTAAAGGACCACTATAGTGCCAGGAAAACAAACTCGTTTTCCTGGCACTATAGTGCCCTGAGGGTGCCCCACCCTCATGGCCCCCCTCCCGCCAGGCTGAAGTTAGAGGAAGGGGTTAAATTCTTACTTTTCTCCAGCGTCAGGATCCCTCAGCGCTGGGACTCTCCTCCTCCTTCCGACGTCATCGGCTGAATGCGCATGCACAGTGAGAAGCGCGGAAGCGACTCTAGCGGCTGTCAATGAGACAGCTACTAGAGGCTGGATTAACCCTATTATAAACATAGCAGTTTCTCTGAAACTATGTTTACAGCAGAAAGGGTTAATCCTAGATGGACCTGGCACCCAGACCACTTCATTAAGCTGAAGTGGTCTGGGTGCCTATCGTGGTCCTTTAACAACATATGTCAGCCTACCATAGATTGTAAGCACATTGCAGCAGAGCCTTCTTTTATTGTAAAGCACTGCGAAGTATGGTGGCTCTATAAAAAAAAAAAAAAAAAATTCTACTACTCAAAATTCCAAACTATTTTCCTGCATGTTTAGGAGTTTAGTGATTCGGAGTATTGTGTATAATAAGGCAAAAAGTAGCAGTGACAGAATTTTTTTTCTTAATTCGTATTTGTGTCATAACTGTCATAATGTGTATTTACATTATTAGTTTTCTTACTTGTTAGCACAGAATTGAGAAGTGGTCATCTGGTTTTCAAAAAATATTAATTAGGAGTTCTCCAGACAGAAAACATTTGACAATCAGAGTATGGTGGTGTAATTTACCTGCCATTCCGAGTCATTTTGAAGCTACGTAGGTAATAACACCTATGTACTGATAAATATGACCCTGTAGCCCACACTGTGTATTTAATAAATTTTTCATACAGTGAAAAATACAAAATACAATAAGGTAAAGAGGAAGGAAGCAATATGTATTTAAGAAGTCCTCAGAAGAGATTAAAAGATAAGAAGAAAGAATAGAGTCCTCTATGAAAAACTCTTGAAGAAATATAATATACAGGCAACGGAGCATTTTTGGTCATCGATGCATCTGTGAACATTGAAAACATACAGCAGACAATAGACATTGTGCAACTTTGTATGGATATAACAATTAAAACAAAATAGAAGGTATGCTCTCAGTCTTAAAGGGACACTCCAAAGCACTTTAATTTGCTGAAAAGCTTTATATGTGAGTGTGTCCTCTATTTTTCATTTTGCAAAAAAGTGCAGATTTCAATAGAAATTGACAGTTTTATAAATTAAAATGGTAACATCCCCTTGGATTTCAAGCAGACAACATGTCCTGTTACTTC